TTAGTTTGATGATCTGAAACATTAAAGTGTGACAAACATGCAAAAAAATAAGAAATCAGGAAGGGGGCCAACACTTTTTCACACCACTGTAGCTATCTATCTATATTTTGTTCGTTCTTCGTTCGATGGTTTGATCTGTCTGTCTGTCTTTTATTCGTTCTTCGTTCGATGGTTCTATCTATCTATCTATGTTTTGTTCGTTTTTCATTCGATCGTTCTACCTATCTGTCTGTCTGTCTGTCTTTTATTCGTTCTTCGTTCGATGGTTCTATCTATCTATCTACCTATCTATGTTTTGTTCGTTTTTCATTTGATGGTTCTATCTATCTGTCTGTCTGTCTGTCTTTTATTCGTTCTTCGTTCGATGGTTCTATCTATCTATCTACCTATCTATGTTTTGTTCGTTTTTCATTTGATGGTTCTATCTATCTGTCTGTCTGTCTGTCTTTTATTCGTTCTTCGTTCGATGGTTCTATCTATCTATCTACCTATCTATGTTTTGTTCGTTTTTCATTTGATGGTTCTATCTATCTGTCTGTCTGTCTGTCTTTTATTCGTTCTTCGTTCGATGGTTCGATCTGTCTGTCTGTCTTTAATTCGTTCTTCATTCGATGATTCTATCTATCTATGTTTTGTTCGTTTTACATTCGATGGTTCTATCTATGTTTTGTTCGTTCATCGTTCGATGATTCTATCTATCTAAATCTATCTATATATGTTTTGTTCGTTTTTCATTCGATGGTTATCTATATTTTGTTCGTTCTTCGTTCAATGGTTCTATCTATATCTATCTATCTATCTATATATTTTCTTTGTTCGATGGTTCTGTCTGTCTGTCTTTTATTCGTTCTTCTTTCGATGGTTCTATCTATCTATATTTTCTTCGTTCTATCTATCCATCTGTCTGTCTATATATTAATATTTCTAATAATTCTTAGAAAAACAGTTTGTACTAGAATACTAGAAAATACTATTTTTTACTAATATTTATTTCTACTCAAATCGACTAAATAGATATAGGAAAGATTTCATGTACACAAATCCTAAAAATTACTTGTTACTTAATTACTTAAAAATTAAACATGTCAGTCAAAATTCTGTCATTATAAATTGATTGATCCTATAACTTGTGGACAGAATATGTACCAATAATGTAATAATCTTAATAATCTTTTTAAGATGCTGGCACATATTTTGTATATCTGCATATGAGCAATAATTATTTTGTAATGGAGTCACTACTTTAAATGTGCTAATGAAGCTTTTTATCCTGCAGATTCCAGCAAATCTGTTTCTGAGAGTGGAGAGGTGTTGGGCCACACCAACCAATGACCCTTACAGCAACATTCAGTACACCTTAATCAGGAACAGGTCTGGGACTTGGGCTTTTGCCTTTCAAGAATTTAATTTTAAGTGATTTAAAAACTAATTTTGTTTATTAACTCCCTTTTATTGTCCTCTGTGTAAATGCCCTCCTTCACAGCTTCATTATTCCTTTGCTCAGGTTTTAAATGTTCATTCAATCATAATTATCACCAGAGGTGTGAAAGGGTGTTGTTGAGACATGCCGTTGAAACCGTTGCTAAAGGAGCTGATGACAAAACAAAGTATGCAGCTACAGTCATGTGACGACTGTCAGCGGCCGTATGCATTGCAGTTTAACAGCTGTGCTTGTCCTTGACTACCCAAAGAGATTCTCCACCAGGAGAAAGCTATGAAGCATGCCGTTTCTGTGAACAATAGAGAAAACAGATCCAACTTAAATAGCAATGCCTTGAGTACAAATATCACACTGACTAACATTTCTCTTCACTTAAAAATTGCTAATTTGAATCATCAACCATCCTTTTATATTCCACAGACAAGAAACATACCAATTTTGAACAATATGTGGGTAAATAAATAATGTAGGTTTTCTAGTTTTGATGAATTTTTCCTTTAAAAATATAGTTTCCCAGTAACTTTAAACCCTTGATGCATCACAGAACTGCTCTGCTGAAGATGCATCAGTACGGACACGCAGGGATGTTGCATCGTCTCACACAGTCTCATATGGACCAATCAGAAGACACAAAACTAACATGGAGAATACTAATCCGAGTAAGTCTTGTAAACTCTCGTGTCTTCATCAGAGTCACCATACTCGCCAATGTGTAATTCATTACCATTGGTAGGCTAACCATCTTCATTAGTTATGTAATGATTTCAATAAAGTAAACAATAGTATTTGATATTACCAATAGTACCCTAAACACATTTAATACCATCGATTTGCATGAATGAATAAATGTCTCCCCAACATTTAACGATATCAACACTCATAAAGAGGATTAATGAAAAGAATGTGTTTTTTCCAAATGTACTGAAACAAATCTATTGATATCAACAGGTTACCGTGAAGATTAGTGTAAGGGTAAAGTAAATATTTCAAAAATGTATGAAAACCATTGTGACTATGAGAATATAGCTTTAGAATGAATGTAGGCCACATCTGATTCAGAACTGTACAACAGGAAAAAAATAAAATGACAAATTTATAATGGTGTAATATACCGTGGTACGTTAAATGGTACTCGGTATTGTATTATCATGGTACGTGTGTGTGTCTCCGCCCATCTATGGGCCTCCGTTTAGTTCAGTGTATCAGTAAAGAGAGACAGATTTCAACAGACAGCAGTGAAAACAACATCACTGTCATTATACTCGATTAAATATTAATATTGTTTCATTAAATAAACACTATCCTCATTAAACGACTGAAGACTCGTTACTGATCAACGGTAAGCCACTTTCATGTTTGTTTACTTTGAGTAACGTTAGTTTTCTCACCGGCTCCGACCTAATAGACCCGGTCTTTGTTAATATCGCAAAATACTTATTTTTCCGTCTTACTAATATGATAACTGTTCATCAGTATACAACGTTTATTCATTTCTTGTCGTTTTCATTTAATCTTGCATTTCGCGGCTAACCAGCTAATGCTAAAGGCGTTGTGTTTGTCAGTTTAACGAATTAAAACCCGTGCCTGTCATAATACAAACATAAAGATGTTTGAGGATGGTTGATTATTGATCTATATGAGTTCATAGTGCTGTCAGGTTCATGGTGTCTTACTTTAAAGAAGAACAACAAAAGCTGCTTCAGGTTTCATGAGTTTGACTGGATTGAGTTCAGTGCAGAGCAAGAGCTTGTCATATTTCACGTTTAGTGTCAGATCATATGTAGGATTGTGTCAGGCTTGGGATTATTATGCATCATATGTCATATTTGGTGTCATGTTTATGGAAATTAGGATCTACAGGTTATAGGACCTTGATTACTAAGATAATGAACACAGTTGTCAGCTATCAATTATGGCATATAAGCAATTGTCATTAATGAAAATAATAATAATGAGATTTAACTATTTAATGATCTGTACCTGTCATAATACAAACATAAAGATGTTTGAGGATGGTTGATTATTGATCTATATGAGTTCATAGTGCTGTCAGGTTCATGGTGTCTTACTTTAAAGAAGAACAACAAAAGCTGCTTCAGGTTTCATGAGTTTGACTGGATTGAGTTCAGTGCAGAGCAAGAGCTTGTCATATTTGGGAAACATTTCACGTTTAGTGTCAGATCATATGTAGGATTGTGTCAGGCTTGGGATTATTATGCATCATATGTCATATTTGGTGTCATGTTTATGGAAATTAGGATCTACAGGTTATAGGACCTTGATTACTAAGATAATGAACACAGTTGTCAGCTATCAATTATGGCATATAAGCAATTGTCATTAATGAAAATAATAATAATGAGATTTAACTATTTAATGATCTGTTTTTTTCATATGTATTGAGCTTATACTGTAACTGACATATACATTAAGCAAAATAGTGTAGGCTGGCTTGAATAATATAATTCTGAATATTTTATATAACATTCAGGTTTTAAAAATGTTTCAGTAACACTTTACAATAAGGTCCCATTAGTAAAAGGACATTAACTAACATGAACAAAACATTTATTACAGTGTTTATTCATCTTTGTTAATGTTAGTTAATGAAAATACAGTCATTAACTAATGTTAACAAGCAAGAATGTTAATTCACAGTGCATTAACTAATGTTAACAAGCAAAAAAAAAATGTGGTAATAATGCATTAGTAAATGTTGACGTTAACATTAGCTAAGAATAATAAATGCTGTAGAAGTATTGTTCATGCTTAGCCCATGTGAACTAAAGTTGTTAACTAATGAACCTTATTGTAAAGTGTTACCAATATTTCTTTTTTTTTCTCCACTTTGGTTGTGATAGTCCTTTTTCATTCTCTTGTTTCAAGGAATGCATCCCATTTGAAAATTAAATTAAGATTAAAATGTATTATTATGCAGCAGTTATACATTTGTCATATTTTCCTGAATTGTATACAGTAAAGTGGTTCATTTAAGCATTACTCTTGTTGTTGGAAAACTGTAGGAAGACATTAGCTCATTATGAATCATCACCGTACCTGTTGTTAAAAAAGTTTGTCAATGTGCTCTCTACTTGGCAATTACTTAGCAATTTTAGTTTTTTGATTGCTGTATGTGTAAAATTAACCTATAATAATTCCAATTGGATTGCATTATATTTTGTGATTTGCTGGACTGATAAGCTGACTTTTCTGTTCCAATAAAAGCACAAAATAAAATGCAACCAAATAAGCCTCTGTTTCTGATACACATTTACAGATTTTCAGTTTGAATTGTGCTTTTGTTTCTTAAACATGTCTAATAATAAACAAAAATGGCTAATAATTGTCAGTTGTGCAAGCTTTGAACCATAAGTTATTGCACAAAAATGTAGCCTACCTCTGTACTGCCACAAATTTGAGCCCCTCTAAGATGAATTCTGAAGTCATGTTATGTTTGGGGTCATACTGACATGTTGTAAGCATGCTGTCTGTTGTCCTTATGAGTGATTGCTTGTGCAACTTGTATGCCATATTGCACATGAGCACTAGATACCAAACACCTAAGTATTTAGAAAACATCCTCAGATGTGTTTTGCTGTTTCAAAAGAAGCCATCACAAGACGTCTCAGACTTAACATGCTGGCATTGTACACAAATGTTTCGCAATGTTTATGCCCAGCTGGTGTTGCGAGGACTATGTTGAAAGTCAGCTTGGTAATTAAAACTTACACCACATCATGACAGACCCCCACCCACCACCTTAACCCAAGTGACTCAGACAGTTTGCATTTAGGTCATGCCGGCTGAGTCTAACTGCTCATGTCTAGCCAAGCCCTGTCATGCTGGAGAGAGAGAAGCTTCTTGAATGACATTGCAAGATCCTTATGGAAGTGTTTCTTTTGAGTGGAAGCCATGACTGATTCCTGTAACATACCGTTCAGAAACAAGGGGTCATGTTCCTTCTAAGTCCTCGAAGAACCAGCGTGACCGTGCAACTTTAGGACAGTTGTGAAATGGCAGTGCAATGGTTTAGTAATTTGGTAAACATACTGCGAGAGGGCAACGGGGTCTGATTTACACTTATCCCTTTTAAGAGACGGGGAGACTTTCCCCAAGAATGGCATACATAGATTTTAAGCCGCGTGGTGTTGTACACAAAGTGTGTGTCCAAAATAAAATCAGGTCTAATGATCTTTTTTCTTTTCTTCCACAGTGTTTGCATAGCGTCTTTGAGTTAAGCGACTCACTAATATTTGCAATGGAGGAGCTTCATATCCATTGCCTGAAATGTGTCAACCGCCGATGTATGATAAGACCAGAGCCTAATGTTTCCTGTGACCTCATGGGTTGCCCTCTTGTGTGTGGAGCGGTTTTCCACTCATGCAAACTGAATGAACATCGCTTGCTGTGTCCATACGAAAGAGTCCCGTGTCTGAACTGTGGATTCGGATGTCCGTTCAACCTTGCCAGAGTCAAAATGGCACAGCACCTTGAAACGTGCCCAGCCAGCGTTGTGTGTTGCACCATGGAATGGAATCGATGGCCAGTGAGTTACGCAGATCGCAAGTCCTACGATAACTTGAGTAAGGAGGTTTGTGATGTGGAGCAGCTCGACATGGCTTTGGCCCTCCAGGATCAGCGGATGTTGCTGGAGTCGCTTAAAGTGGCGACCACTGTGACAAAAGCTCTGGAAGATCAAAATCAGGACAGTTCCAGCCACCAGGAGTCGAACCCTGAAAATGAATTCATTGAAACAGATGAGGAACCGTATGGTGGACCTTACACAGCTTCATTGGAAAACCGTAGAAGCTTTGCCGTCACTTTGGACGTTCTCCGGAGTGCAAAAAATATTGACTTCATTGTAGAGAATACCAATGGTGAGGAACAGAATGGAGGTTGCAGCGGTGTCAGGAATGGCGATGGGGAGTTTAGCAATGACACAACAAAGGAAAGTGACACTGATTCGGATTCTGATCTGGGAGCGGTAGGGGGTGCTGATTGTCCTTTTCCAGTAGACCCTGAAGATGAAAGAGATGATTGGTTGGAGAACAGTGCATGCGGTGAATCTTCTGAAGAAGAAGGCGAAATGAATGGTGGGATAGAACTCAATGAACTTCATAATGAAGGGGACGGTGACAGCCAGGTCAGACTTGAAAGGGTCAATGGCTCTTCAAACGCAAGGCAGGTTTTACCTGATCATTCCATACCTGTTCTAGCACAGGAGCCTGAAATGGCCCACTTGCCTCAGCTACCTCTTCCTTTGCCCATCCCTGTGCCTAACCTGATGCACAACAATGTTCTGCACCATTTGCCTTTCAGAATTGAGGACCGATGGCTGGAGCGCAAGTTAGAAAATCTCCAGGCACTCAGGGGAATGAACTTGTTTACAATCAAAGGGCGAAGGACTCTGTTTTCCGACCCCTATTTATTCAAAGCTAAGATGGAGGACAAGGCGGTGGACACGTCAGACCTTGAGGTGGCAGATGATCTGATGGGTCTTCATGGCATTGACCTCATCACCGCTGCCTTGCTCTTTTGCTTGGGAGACTCACCAGGAGGTAGGGGCATCTCAGACTGCCGCTTTGTAGACGGTTATCGCATTGACTTTGGTACGCAGACCTTCTCCCTCCCTTCTGCAATACTGGCAACCAGCACCATGGTTGGCGACATCGCCTCAGCTTCTGCCTGTGACCACGCCAGTCCGCAACTCTCCAACCCCAGTCCATTTCACAC